ACTCAGAGATCTGCCAGCCTCTGCCTCCTGAGTGCTGGGATTAAAGGCATGCACCACCATGACCAGCTCAAATTTGCTCTGTGATAACTCTTTTGTATGCTGTGAATATATGTTGCTCTCACTGGTTGATAATAAAAGCTATTTTGGCCTATAGCAAGGCAGAATATATCTAGGTGGGGAAGCCAAATTGAATATAGGGAGAGAGAGCTGAGTCAGGAGAGATGCTGCCCAAGAAACAAAATGCAAGCATACCTGTAAAAGCCACAGTAACGTTTCAATATATAGATTAATAGAAATGGGTTAATTTAATTGTAAGTACTAGTTAGTAATTAAGCCTGAGCTATTCAGTCAAACATTTTGCAGTTAATATTTAGCCTCTGAGTGATTATTTAAAAGCAGATGTGGGCTGGGTCGGGACAGAGATACCTCTGTTTACACAAATTCTCATCCTTTAGTAATTAGATTTTCTAATTACTATTCTTGTATTCCTGTTGCCCTTTCTTTGTAGGCTTGTTATGCTGCCTCTGCGGTTGGATACCTAACGGGCAGGTAACTAAAGTGCACTTCATTAGAATACACTGAAAGTTTGGGGTAGAAATATATATGTCAACTCAAAACTTAGTTGGCTTGAAAAGATTGTAGAAGATAGTATTAGTAAGAAGTAACTCTTAACTTCCTTAGGCTACTTCATATAAAAGGCTTGGTTCCAAGATGAGCTTGCTAGAGCATATTCCTGTCTTCTTATGCTAGATAATTACTCAGCCCTCGTTTTTTACTAAAAAGTAATACTTGGTAAAAATAACCATTTTAGAAAATGTAGAAAATATAAAAGGAATAAAAACTAAAATGACTGTAATCCACAACCACTAAGGTTTTTTTTCATATATTTTACTTTTTTTCTATATTCACATATTTTTTAAGGTGGGTTTTGGGCCTTTGATAAAATTTGTACCATACTTTTTATGGCACTTATATATAAGCATTAGTAAGGTATTTTTGGGGGGGGGGGGTTCGAGACAGGGTTTCTCTGTAGCTTTGGAGCCTGGCCTGGAACTAGCTCTTGTAGACCAGGCTGGCCTCAAACTCACAGAGATCCGCCTGCCTCTGCCTCCAGAGTGCTGGGATTAAAGGCATGTGCCACCATTGCCCGGCATAGTTTATGGCAGAATTTATTTTACTTTTTTTGGTTTTGTTGTTGTTTTGTTTTAGTTTTTTTTGAGATAGGGTTTCTTTGTAGCTTTGGATCCGATCCTGAAACTAGCTCTTGTAGACCAGACTGGCCTCGAACTCACAGAAATCCACAAATATTTATTTTGTTCTGTCTGCATGTCAGACCAGAAGAGGGCGCCAGATCTCATTACAGATGGTTGTGAGATGTGGTTGCTGGGAATTGAACTCAGAACCTCTGGAAAAGCAGCCAGTGCTCTTAACCGCTGAGCCATCTCTCCAACCCTTGATTTTTTTTTATTCTAAAAGTGAAGTTAGTATTTAAATTCTAGAAATATAAACAAGCAAGAGCTCACAGTCCTTCTCTTTAATGGGAACCTACTGAATTTGAGCCTGAGGAAAACCAGGCTGTCTGAAACAGCCTCTGAACTATTCTGTGGATTTATTTGCATTTTTGTTGACCCTGGAAAGCATTTGAATTACAGTCTTTGATGCTTTAATTGATTCTGGAATGATGATTATTTTTACAAACTGAAAATTTAGTTTGAAATTCTTATTCTGAACATTTTAGAGTTATACTGTTTAGTATTGTAGCATTAGCAATGTGTAGCTATTTCATTTAATTAAAAATAACCAATATGCTAAGTAGAACTGCTTTTTGGAGCGGCCACACTGAAAGTGTTCAGTGACTGTGTGGAGTCCATGACCTGTCGAATTGCACAGGGAAGGAGGACGTCTACGTCTGTAGAGCATGCTGGGGATGATACTGCTCTGGATACTTAGAACTGTTGTTAGTGTTACTTTAAGTCTGAAAGATTTGGAAATGTAAAGACTTAGGCTCAGAAAGTGTGTCAACAGAAAGCATTCAGAAAGATTGGGAGGAAAACCATGCATTTAGAATCACTGCCTCACAGAGACTTAGTGTATTATATTTATTTATTAGAAAATGAAAAAATCCATATAAAATATATGTGACTGTCAAAAATTTGCTTCTGTAATCAGTGAACTTGTTCTAACCCAAAATGATTGGAGCAAAATACGAAAGATTAGTAAAATACAATGTGATGGTAATAATGTACATTATATCTTAAAAAACCTTGATGGTACTCATTTTTAATTAAGATGTTCTAATAATTGGTCTATCTTCTGACCACCAAGAGGTTTCCATGGAAACCTAACATAATACGAATTGGCACTTGGTGTGTTTGAAGCTGAGATAGCTGACTGGCATCCACACCTCTTTTTTTTTCTGCTGTTATGTTTGACCTGCTGTTGATAACTCTGCTTTACTTCTAGGCCAGGAGTGTGCCTTGTGGTTTCTGGCCCAGGTCTCATCCACGCCTTGGGTGGCATGGCAAACGCGAACATGAACTGCTGGTAATTAAATCATTCTTGCTCAAAACTTTTTAAATGTGTCTTTGTGTGTTTTGGCAAAGTAGAACTGATCTATACTACTGATCTACAGTGGGAAGACTTGGGGGAAACAAAAGTCCACCCTGCTATGCTTGGGAACAGAGTAGATGGTCATGAACTGGGAAATGAGTGGAGCTCGGGAGGATGGGGGTCAAAGGTGCCTGCCACGCCTGAGGTTCAATGTGCAGCATGAGGACAAGAGTCAGTAATATTGTACTGAATGCTGGAAATTTACTACAAATGCAGATTGGGGTACTTCTGTGATATATAAACTGTGACATTGTGAGTGTTAATTTGCTTGACTACAGCATCAGTTCACTATAGGTATCAAAACAACATTGTAGCCTTTATTATATGCAATGCTAGGAAGAAAATATTAAGTCCATCACTAAGAAAGAAGCACTTGAACATTTTAGAGTTTCATTCTCTGTATGTATTCATGTTTATGGATGTGAGCATGCTTGTAGTTCTAAATAAAGAACTACTTTGAAAATGTGTTAAATATTGAACCTAGACCTTCCCTATGTTGTATAGGCTTGGTTAGTCTGGAATAATCATAATCACAATAATACTGTCCTAGAACTCACTATGTAGACCAGGCTGGCCTCAAACTCACAGAGATCCGCCTGCCACCTGAGTACTGGGACTAAAGGCATTTGACACTACACCCAGCTAAACTTTGTGTGTGTGTGTGTGTGTGTGTGTGTGTGTGTGTGTGTGTGTGTAACAAAATCTTATTAAGTTAACCTAGGAGTCTTTGAACACACATGTCCCAGACAGGCCTTAAACTTGTGATCCTCCTGCCTCAGGTCTCTGAGTAGTTAGGATTATAGGTCTATAATACTACTCCTAGCTGAGAGTTTTTAACACCTTCATTCAGTATATAGAAGTGTATATCCACCATCTTGCTTTTAGCAACTGTATTCTTATATTTGTTAAAATTTGCTTTATAAGCTGTTTAATGCTTATTCTCCATCCTTCCTTTATTTAACCTTCTCTCAGCTGCTTTATCAGCAATAGCAGGATGAAGGGGATTATGTTCTGATCAATTCAGAACATGCTTAGTCTTTTTTAATGTGAAGGACTTTTTCTTCTTTGCACTTTCTGTGAGTGTGTGCGTGTGTGTGTTTGTGCATGCTCACACAGAACCTAGCATGTGGAGACAACCCACAGAGGTTGGCTGTTTCCTGTGTTATGGGCTCCAGGAACTGAACTCACCTCATTAGGATTGCTAACAATTGCCCTCACCCACAGAGTCGTCTGTCTGAGCTTCACTGTGTTTCTTTCTTCCCGTCTTCCTTCCTTGTCTTCCTCTTCCATATCTACCTTAGAAATTGATAGTTAAGTCTGGGGCCTGGAGAGATGCCTCAGGGATTAAGATCCGGTGCTCTCTTCTTGCCTGCAGGCATACATGCAGGCAGAATACTGTGTATATAATAAATAAATTTAAAAAAAAAAGAGCACTGTCTGCCCTTCCAGAGGTCCTGAGTTCAATTCCCAATACCTATCTAGAATGAGATCTGGTGCCCTCTTCTGGCATGCAAGCGCACATGCATGCAGAACACTACATAATAAATCTTAAAAAAAAACCCTTTAAGTTTGATGTATTTTTTAACCTTGAGAAATAAAACATGGAGAACTCTTTTAACCTTGAGAAATGAAAATTGAGAACTATTGCTCATTTTTCCATTTCCAAATAGGTTTACTCAAGAACGTATAAATTTCTTCTCTCCATCTCAGGAATAGTAAGGCATAAAGTTGATTTTGTCACTGTACCTGGAAACTTAATGTTACCATGGAAGGAGGGAGCTGATGTAAGAAAAGCATTTACTGTACGTTTTCCATTTTTGTGATTTTTGAGAATGGGATCTCGCCCATCAGATTACATCTTAATTTTTTTTTAATCTCTAGGTTTTCAAGAAAGATGTAGTTTTGTTTGTCTGTTCTCTGTCTTAGTCACTCATAATTGTCATGCATTGGACACTTGATGAATGTTTTCTATATTCTCATTTGTAACTATCTTTTTAAAAAATTGCTATTTCAGGCCCTTGATTGTGATTGGTGGTTCTTCTGAAAGAAATCAAGAAACAATGGGAGCCTTTCAGGAGTTTCCTCAGGTACACAGCTCTACCATCTGAGCAATGATTAAATACTACTGAAGTAAAAACACTGTCTTGGCTGGGGTTTCTGATGCTTGATGAAACACTGTGGCCAAAACCAAGTAGGATGAGAGAGTTTTTTTCCTCGTCCTGGGAAGTCAGGCAGGGACTGATGCAGAGGCCACAGAGGAACAGCAGGTCAGCAAGGCTTGCTCCTCAGGGCTCACTCAGCAGCCTGTTTCCTTATACAACTCAGGAGCACCTGCCCAGGGGTGGCCTTGTATACTGTGCCCACCCACTTCAAGAAAATGCCTTACAGGCTTGCCTACAGGCAATCAAATGGGGATATTTTGTCAGTTAAGATTCTTCTCTCCAGATAACCCTCGTTTGGGTCACATTAACCAAAAACCTCTCACAAACACAATTTATAACGTCTGTTAAAAATATGAAATGTAGTGGAATTTTGTTTGTGATCTAACAAGTAAAGCTCACCTGAAGAGTGAGTGAAGAGCCAAGCCATTAGTTAGCCCTAGAAGCCAGGCAGTGGTGACACACACTTCTTGCAGAGGTGAGAGTTCCCAGCACCCACTTTGGGTGGTTCACAACCACAGGCTGTTCAGCTCTAGGGGAACCTAATGCCCTCTTCTGGCTCATGTGGGTACTGCACTCAGATATATGTGCATATATAGAATTAAAAAGATCTAAAGCAGTGATTCTTAATCTTCCTAATTCTGTGACCCCTTAGTACAGTTCCTCATGTTGTGGTGACTCCAAACCATAAAAATATTTTCATTGCTGCTTCATAACTGTAATTTTGCTGCTATTATGGACCAAAATGTAAATATGTGGGTTTTCTGATGGTCTTTAGGTGACCCCTATGAAAGGGTCATTTGATCTCCAAAGGGTCATGACACACAGTTTGAGAAACTGCTGATCTATACCAAAACTGACATGACTTAATTTTTTTATTATTTTATTTATTTGTCTGGATGCCTTGCCATATGTATATCTGTGCAGTGTGTGTATAGAGGTTGTGAAGGCCAGAAGAGGATGTCAGATCCCCTAGAACTGGAGTTTCAGATGGCTGTGTCTACCATGTGGGTGATGGGAATCTAATCTGTGTGTGTGTGTGTGTGTGTGTGTGTGTGTGTGCAGGTGCCCACAGAGACCAGAGGTATCAGACCCCTGGGGCTGGCATTACAGATAGTTGTGGGCTACCAGATATGGGTGTTAGGACCCAAACTCAGGTCCTCAGGAAGAGCAGTAGGTGCTTTTAACTCTCCAGCCCCCCAAAACTGACTTTTTAAACTGAAATTAAGTCCTTAACATAGTATTAAAGATGTAATACTTTAATTACAGAGCTGGCATTACAGACAGTTGTGGGCTACCAGATATGGGTGTTAGGACCCAAACTCAGGTCCTCTGGAAGAGCAGTAGGTGCTTTTAACTCTCCAGCCCCCCCAAAACTGAATTTTTAAACTGAAATTAAGTCCTTAACATAGTATTAAAGATGTAAGAAAAAAAAAACTGGATGGTGGTGATGCCTGCCTTTGATCATTAGGAGGCAAAGGCAGGCAGATCTCTTGAGTTCTAGACCATCCTGTTCTATAGAGCGAGTTCCGGGACAGCCAGGCCTACACAGAGAAACCCTGTCTTGAGGAACCTAAATAAATAAATAGATATATGAATAAAAATGGACACTACAGAAATAGCTAAAAAGAAAAAAATTCTTATCAAAATTATCAGACTTGGTATACATTTATTTTTGTTTTAGGAGAAAAGAAAGTATTTCAAAAGTTGAACAAATTGTCAGCAAAATGTTACAGCTTCAACAATAATTTGCAGAATGTTAAAGAGATGGCTCAGCAGTTAAGAGCACTTGTTCTTGCTGAGGACCTAGGCTACCAGGTCCACATGGTGGACTACAGCTGTCCATAATTTCAGTCCCAAGGGATCTGACCTCCACATATACTCTGCACATATATGGTGCACATACATATATGCAGGCAAACACTCATACACACAGAATTAAATCTAAAGAAAAATAGTGAGAGAATGCAACAGCTGAGGGTGAATGGTTGACTGTAACAGGAATGCACTGGAGCTATACATGCTATAGGTTCTCTACCACTGAACCGTGCTCAAAGTTGCATACAGAATTATACTGCATTAATATACAATGCTACCCTCAGTCCAAGTCCTTATACTCTTGAATACAAAGTTTTATTTGTTAATCTAACAGTAACAAAAGTTTTCAAATGATGCTAATGTATCCAGAACAGTAGAACTGATAAATAATTGAAAGGATATTTAGGTATCGTCTTGGATATGGTGCCACACACCAATATTTCCAACAGATATGAAGCTGAGGCAGGAAGATTGTGCATTTAAGACTATCTTAGGCTAACAAGACCCTGATTTAGAGCAAAAACGAAAATAAAATTTAGGGCAGGTGAGAAAGCACAGTGGGAAAGGGTACTTGCCCTCAAGCCTGACAACCTGAGTTTAGTCCTCAGAACAGATATGATAGGATACTCAGCTCCCACCTTCACAGTCCACACACGTAGTGTCTTAGTTAGGTGTCTTTTGCTGTGAGGAGACAGAATGACCATGACAACTCGTAGAAAGCAAAACATTTCATTGGAACCGATTACAGGTTCAGAGGTTTAGTCCCTTGTTATCATGGCAGGAAGCAAGGCAGTGCCCCGGCAGACAGTCCCGGTGTTGGAGCCGAGAGTCCATGTCTGGGTCTGCAGACAGTAGGAAGAGAGAATGACACTGGCCTGGCTTGAGCATTTGAAAACTCAAAGCCTACTCCCATTGACACACTTCCTCCAACAGGGCACACGTCCCAATAAATAGTACCACTCCCTATGGGCCTGTGGGGGCCATTTTCATTCAAACCACCACATACAGAGAGGAGATAAATGTGTAAAATATTTAAAAAAAATTTGAAGTTCCTTTAAAAATTATATTCATATGAAGCATGGAGTAGAGCATTGATGTCAACCATTAAAATATATTTCCTAAAATAGTAAGTTTATTAGATTGTAAATTAAAACACAGTTTGATTTAAAATTCAAATATCCTTTTCTTATTGGAAGTTCTTAAAACTGAGGGCCACGAACATAAGATTCTGAAAACCTGACGAATGTCTTGGCCCCTCAAGCCTGTGTGACTGAGGCTGGCCTCTTCTCCATAATTTCATCCTGAAAAGTGCAGTAGACAATGTAGACGTAGCACCTCCAGTTCCCATGTTCCCAGAGCATAGCAAAAAGTACATGAGAAGAAGAGCAGCAGAAATGGAAGACGATGTAAGATGCATCAGGTGAATTTTCATAGTCTTGCTGGGCACTTGCTTTAATAGGTCTGGCCAGCTTCCCTGTCAGTTAACCTCCCCCAGCAGTTTATAAGAGTGCCCATTTGCCTGTTTTATGGTACATGGTGTATATTATCTTCATTTTTGCTAATCTGAGAAAGGAAAATAATGTGTTGATTCCAGAATCATCCTGAGAAAGGAGTTTGATTGTGATTTGAATGTTTTTTTGAGATAACCTCAAAAAAAAAATAAATAAAAGCCACGTTTTTTTCTATCTTGCCTCTAAATGTAATAAGCAGTAATGACTTGAACATTTTATCTTCCCTTATGAGAACAATATGATTGTGATCTGAATTTAAATGATTTTCATTTTCTGTATAGGTTGAAGCTTGCAGATTATATAGCAAGTTCTCTGCCCGGCCAGTCAGCATAGAACATATTCCTTCTGTTATTGAAAAGGTACAGTATTTACTGAAAAGCTCTCTGGAGATTGGACCCAGTGTCTCATGTAATGTGCCAAGCACATACTCCTCTGCAGAGCAACACCTTCAGCACTGCTATTTTTATTCATAATGGAACGATAATATCCCCAGACTATAAAATGACATTGTTAAAAAGCTATTTGCATTCTATTGTTCACTGCCATTATATTTAACTATTGAAACAGAGGGAAAGTAAGCTATTTTTGGAACAAAGTTTCTCCTGTATGTTAGTTCCTTAGATTATCTTTTTATTTGAACCAAAGTAAAGATAAATATATATATTAAGACCCTGGGTAATGATCTCTTAAGCATTTGCAAAAAATTTTGGGAATATTGCATATAATATTTTTTTACTTAATTAAATAACATGTTGTAAATTAATGTTAGCTAGCAAGAGTTTTATGTGAAATTATAATTGAGCTATTTCAAAACCATGCATTACAGAATCAATTTGATACATCGTAAATTGTCACAGTTTCTGAAACCGCTGCCAAATGGTTAAGGTTAAGAAGTGGGTGAAAGTTTATGATTCAGTGTAAACAGCAAGCAGAGACTAATGGATGCTCTTCAAGTGCAATAGAGCATGAATTTCAGGGCCTTACAGGAACTCTTTATTCCCCTTTAGATGAAAATATCTTTCAAAAATAAGAGTTAATGGAGGACATTTCAATTTTAATAATAACTTTTGTTTGTTTGTTTGTTTGTTTGTTTTTCAACACAGGGTTTCTCTGTAGCTTTGGAACCTGTCCTGTAACTAGCTTTTGTAGATCAGGCTGGCCTCAAACTCACAGAGATCTGCCTACCTCTGCCCCCAAGTGCTGGGATTAAAGGCATGCGCCACCACTGCCCAGTTTAATTATAACTTTTATCCAACTAAGAATACCTCAAGAAAACTTAGTGTTCATTTCACACTTTTAGATTAACTTGAAGAAGAATATGATAATTGAGACATTTTGTTTGTCATAAACACAGGCAGTGAGAAGCAGTATCTATGGTCGACCAGGTGCTTGTTACGTTGACATTCCTGCAGATCTCGTGATCCTCCAGGAGAATGTGAATTCTATAAAGTAAGAATTATTTAGATTCTTCCTTAATTTTGTGTTATCATAGTTGCTCTTCAAAAAGAATTTATCTAGCAGTTTGTTAATCTCCAAGAGTCTCAATATTTTTGATGATTTTGTAATTAAACTGAATCCTAGCCAAAAGGCTTGGTTCTCTTCATTTAAATGGTATTACTTAGTAACTGTCTATCGATTTAATTACTAATCTAATACTTTCAACTTCCTGATTCTTATTCAAAGTTATTCACCCAGTTAATAACCTTAGATATATATCTCCATTAACGTATGCGTTATTAACATGTAGGTTGAATTTCTCTATGTTTCACCATCTGCTCCCAAATAACCATTCAGAGACTTATTATTAATTTTAAATGATAGGCCAATAGCTCAGGCTGGTCCTAGCTAACTCTTACATTTAAATTAACCCATGTTTCTTATCTACCCTCTGTCACGTCATTGTAACTTCTTTTAATATGGCGCTTTCATCTTGCTTCTCTGCATCTGCTCGAGAAGCCTCTGATTCCACCCTTCTTTTTCCCAGTGTCCTTAGTTTGGTTCACACCCTAACCTTATACTGTTCAGCTATTGGCCAGTCAGTTTTGTTATTAAATCAGTTACAGTAACATATATTCACACGGTGTAGAGGAATATTCCACTTCGACAAGCATTTGACTGTAAGCCAAGAGATAAGATAGATGATTGGTGAAAACGTATTAGGATTTAGTATAAAAAGTGTTTGTCTAACATTCCTATAACTTAAAATGTTCTGAAGTGTGTTTCTGTGATTTGTCCTTCACTTTGATTTCTTAAATAAACCTTGAGTGAAAAGAAGTACAAAAAAGTCACACTTGATTGTCATTTACCTTGATAAATATGCTACCGTAGTCTGTCAACCCCCTAAGTGGTAGGTATTTCTTTAATCTTGGGAATAAAATATGCCTTTTCTATTACAACATTTTTAGAGAAATCCAGAAATGTAGAAATCATTCTTTTTAAAAAGGATTTATTCAATTGTTATACCACTGTCTGGGGGGGCAGCCTCCAGCAGCACAGGGCTTTGGCAGGAGTCCACAGAGTGGCGAAGCTCATCTTTGCCATCGGCGGGGGTTAGGGGGAATGGCACTCACAAACTCTCTTTGTGATTTCTTTATTTATTCTCTCTCCTCTCATGCTGTTTCACAGCTTTTATCCCCAAGCAGAATCTTCCAGGCAGCGCAAGAGTCAAAACAGTTGCATTCCATTTCTCAAGTGAATTATTATTGGTAAAAACATGTTTTTTATCTCTCTCATATGATTAAACATTTTATATATTACAGGTGAAAAATAAATTATCCCAAGATCCCACATGCATTCATACCCTAGCAACTTGTTGTAGATTAACCACGTGGCAAGCAAGGTGTTCTTGTCAGGTCTTTCACTGGCAGGCTGCATTCTGCAGTTACAAAGAGGGCCGATTACTTTATTACTTCTCTTAAAGAAATCACAAACATAAACTTTGATATTTGAAAAAGAATTGGTCAGCTCTCCTTTAAATCTTTAGGGTACATATCCATTCATTAATAGTTTTGTTTTTTTTTAACATCAGGAGATTGAGGACATAAATGGGTATAAAGGAGTAATCATCACCTTTGGTCATCATCCAAATCTAGCAATAAAAGTACATCAGCCAGTTATAATTGGACTGCTTTGTTCTTGTTCCCTGAACTTAAAGAGTTTCACATTCAACTGTGTTCCTTTCTAAGACTTTAGATTGTCTTCTTGGATTTTTTACCTCAAAGTTACTTAACAAAAACATTTAAGTTTAACTTTGCTATTTCCACAGCTTTGTTTCAGCTGTGATGCACTCCGAGACCCATGAACACATCTCCCAACATTTAGGTTAAAAGAATTTAAACTAGCTATTGGGATTTGATTGTTAATTGTCATAAACTTGAGGTCCAATCCATGCAGCTCCTTAGATGAGACTCACAGACCTTGGCTGTGAAACATCCTTGTATTTATTTTTATTCATCAAAACTCTGTATAAGCCATTGTTATTATTATCAAAGTAGACAGTACAGCTTAGGGAGAGGTCATCATCTTGACAATCCACAGGTAAAAATGCCCAGTAGAACAGGATGTTTCCAAGAGATAAACACACTTACAGGCAGTGGGAATCTCCTCACGTCCACTCACACCATGCTAGATACCAGAGAAAGGGAGCCGCAGCAAACATGTAAAGGCGCAGAGGAAGCAAAAGACATCCCAGGGTCTGCAGTCCCGTGGCCTTGCCTGAATGAGATTGGCCCATCAGGGGGTTCCCTTCTGCTGGGCCGACACCTGGAACTTCAACTGCAACTTGCTACTCCTCTGGCGTGACCAATGGCATGTATGTGTGTATCTCTGTGAGTGCTTGCCCATGTGTACAGTATCTGTGGAGGTCAGAAGAAGGTATCCGATCTCCTGGAGCTGAAGTTACAAGCAATTGTAAGCCACCTGCTGTGGGTGCTGGAAATACACAGCAGGTCGGGGAAGAGCAGCTGTTGACCACTGAGCCTTCTCTCCAGCCCAAAAGAAATCCCTTTATCCAAGACCTGACATTTTTAACATTTAGTCCCTTTCCTTTTTGTCATGCATATTTAATCAACATGTTGAATTTATAGTTAGAAGATTTAAGACTGATTTCACTGTGTAGTCCACCCTGGTTTCAAAGCCAATCCTTTTGCCTTCACTTCCCAAGTACTGGGTTTACTGGTGTGCACTACTGTCCTGAGCCTTCATACACATTATATAGGTTACATTCCTCCTGTAGTTTATTTGTTGAACATCCATAACACTGAACATTCATTGTTTTAAGTGTGTATATGTGTGTTGAAACAGTGTCTCACTACAGAGCCTTGGCTGGAACTCTCTGTAGATCAGGCTGGCCTCAAACTCAGAGATCCGCCTGCCTCTGCCTCCTAAGTGCTGGATTAAAGCATGTGCCAACACTGCCTAGCGTGTTTCATTGTTATTTCTTAAATGCAATGTTTGTGGACCTTGCTATTATGGAAATGGTTCTCTAGTGGCTACAGACAGTGGTCAGTATATTCAGTATACTGGGGTAGTTTCTATTTGTTAGAATCAGACATGATGACATGTAGTGTGTGTGTCTGTGTGTGTGTGTGTGTGTGTGTATGACTATCAAAATAATACTGAGGAATGAAGAACAGTATGCCTTAGGTGAGTTGAAAATGCAGCCTTCCTTTAAACTTGTGTAGAGGTTGATGCCCTATTTTATTGTGGGTCTAGATAGTTGGATAATATAGATCTCAATTTTTAAAAAAATTTTTTGAGACAGGATTTCCCAATAGCTATAGAGCCAGTCATGGAACTTGCTCTGTAGACCAGGCTGGTCTCAAACTCACAAGAGATCCACCTGCCTCTGCCTCCTGAGTGCTAGGATTAGAGGTATGCACCACCACTCTCAGCCTAAAGCATTTATCTGTGTGTGTGCATATGCATGCTTTAGTGGTCAGAGGACAGTTTGATGGAGTCAGCTATTTCCTTCCACCAGTCCAGGGACTGAACTGAGTTCTCAGGTCTTTGGACTTGGTGGCAAGTGCCTTTACTTGCTGAGCTATCTCCCAGCCCCTAGCCTCTTTTCTTTATTACAGCATCATTTTTATTTCTAGGTACAAGGAGTGCTGCATGCCATCTCCAGTTAGCATGGCCGAAACCCCTGCTGTGTGTATGGCAGCATCTGTTATTAGAAATGCCAAACGGCCCCTGCTCATCATCGGGAAAGGTAGCACAAGAACTCCTAAGTCACAGACTGTGGGAATGTTGACACTGTCTTCATTGTTTGTTTTTATGTGCTCTGGTGTTTGTAATTGGAGTAAGTGGTCTTTTCATCCATTTTCAAATCACAGAACTCATCTTTAGTGGCCTGGAGACCTCACTTTTACAAAGAATAATTTTATTTCTTAACTTAGAAGTAAATAAGTGGTGTGGGAGGTCTTCTGTCTGTGTGTTGCTTTTATTGATTAATGAGACATTAATTTTAAAATTAATGTCTGGGAAGAACAGAATTAGGTGGGGGAAAATAACTAGGCTGTATGTTGAGAGAAGGAAGGGGCAGAATCAGAGAGATACCATGGAGCCACTGCCAGAGTCAGACGTGCTGAGATTTTTCTAGTAAGCCACTGCCACATGGCGATACACAGATTAATGGAGATGGGTTAAATTAATATGTAAGAGTTAGACAATAAGAAGCTAGAGCTAATGGACCAAACACTGATTTAAATAATATGGTTTCTGAGGGATTCCTTAGGGTCTGAGCTAGCCGTGCAGCCGGGAACCAACAAGCAATCCCTCCCTCCTACAAATAAGTTTTTTCTAGTACAAATATTTCAGAAAAATCTAGAAAAGTTTTAGAAAGAAAGAAATCACTCCATCCAAGGAAATCAGTTTTGGCCTTCAGTGCTTTATTTACTTCATTTTTAAAATTAATTAATTGATTGATTGATTAATTAATTTGGTGTTTTGAGACAGGATTTCTCTGTGTAACAGTCCTAGCTGTCCTGGAACTAGTTCTGTATATCAGGCTGACCTCGAACTCACAGACATCCTTCTGCCTTTGCCTCCCCGAGTGCTGGGATTAAAGGTGTACACCACCACTGCCCAGCCAATAGTTTATTTTTTATGTCTAGTTTACATACTGTGATGATGCCATATAGACAGTTCTATATTTGATAAGCTACTTATAATAACTATTTTTCTTAAAATTACTTCCTAAACACAATTTTAATGTTGAATTGTATACATTGACGCTTGTTGTCAAATGTTTGTTTGTTTATAGTAGCTGTGGTAAACATTTGTATGAAAAGTTTTTCCATAGTTAGAATTTATGGTAGTGCTCCAAAAAGAGAACTAACTAAATTAAAAAGTATGGGTATCTGAAAGACATTTGGAACTGATAAATTGCTTACTCCTTAGGTATCACAGAAACAATTTATATTCCTGTTAGCAATTTATTATTATTATTTTATTTTGTAGATTGATTATTTATTTAGTTAGCTAGTTAGTTTGGTTTTTCAAGATAGGGTTTATCTGTGTAGCTTTGGAGCCTATCCTGGCACTTGCTCTGTAGACCAGGCTGGCCTCAAACTCATAGAGCTCTGCCTGCCTCTGCCTCCCAAGTGCTGGGATTAAACAAGTGCACTTTACAATTCTTTTTAATTCTATGTATGGTATATGTGTGTACATTTTCATGCATGTGCATGTGTGAATACCAAAAGTCTTTCTGTAGCTGTCCACAGGGTCTTTTACTGAATCCAAAACTCACTGATTTGGCTAGAATATCTGGTCAGTGATTGCTGCGATCTACCTGTCTGCACTCCTCCAGTGCTAGGATTGCAGATGTGCACCACCACGTCTGGATCCAGACTCTCCAGTGTTAGGGTTACAGATGTGCACCACCACAGCTGGATCCAGACTCT